ACAAGGATATTAGCTTATTCTCCTCTAAGAGGTATTTGCTACATCTATTTCCTTCTTTTTACAGTCCATGCTCATGTCCAACTACCTACATCTAGATTTCCTTGTTAGAGTAACCCTGTAACTCACACGCTAGGGAGATTATAGCTTTCACCTGGGCTGTAGCCCTACATCCTATGATGATGAATTTAGAGCAGTGTTCTAGAACAAAAGGGACAGCTATACGAGAACACTCTTGCCAAAACCAAAACAAAGAAATGCATGCTGTTGCACACATCAAGAGACCCCTCAGTACTTTGCCCAAATATTACTGATTGTCTCTAAAACTATCACCCTAGCAATAGTATCAAAAAACTTCAGATTCAGACAATTAAATGCAGCTAACGCAATGAATGTTTTCAAGCACCACTACATCATAAGGGAGATATACGTAACAGGATACCCCAGGCAGTGAATCTTGAAAATAAAAAAATCACTGGCACAACCAAGCAAGGAAATTTGTGCAGAAAAATAGGAGCCACATTGTAGAAGTTCAGATGAAATGGTTTTACCCCTCGACTACTTGAGCAGAGCCCCAAAATATACTATTTGGAAGACAGAATTGAAATGCCCCACCTGCTTGTATCCCTCAATGACCCATGACGTTCCAATAAAATGCATACAGTGGAATCCACTTCTTCATATATGCGAAGTCTCAAGGGTTTGGTTTTACAGACACTCCCCAAAGTAGCTGGTTTGATATAATGTATGTGGCCCATAACAATCATTAAAAAACTATAATCTAATTCAACACTGCATAATCCACAAAACACTGAAAAACATTACTATCAACATTTTCTCATTTGATTTTTAATTCCGACTACAGCTACATTGTGTGTGTGTGCACGCGTAGTCGATTATGTCCATAAGAAAAAAGTCAATGGCTAGAATTTCTTTTCTTTTAAAGAATGTTTCATGTTGAACAAAATCCAGCAACTGATCATCATTGTTTTTGAAATAGACCACTACTTTCAAAACAGTTACTCACTCTTCTCTGGAATGTGGGTGTTGGTAGGGATTACCTTAGAAGGGATGTTTCACTGAGAATGATGAGTGTGTCAAGGAAGAGCTTCTCCATCTATGTCGAGGATGACGGATTGACTGAACAACATATCTTGTGCAGAACAAAATGCTGACTAGTTGATAGCAGATTCTTTTTTAAGGGAAGATAGAAATGGAAGTCTTTTGCATTTCACTCCTCTCATTCCAAGAGCCTTTAGACCTCTAAGTTCCTCTTAAGTCTGAAGAAAAATGACCGATTTTTAAAATAAAATTTAAAGACAAGCTAAAGGAACAGTATTGCATCTTGCCCATTGGCAAGTTCTTTAAAAAAGAAAACCAACCCAATTCTGCTAAATTAAAGCAAATACATCTAGCCTACATTATATTTGAAGACAATGAAAAGCAGACTAACCAATTTCACAGAGGTTTTCAAATAAACAGATGGAAGGTTTTCAAATTAAAATCTAGACTGGAATAAATGCCAGACTATCAATAAACATATGATCTTCATATGAAAAAAATCTCGAACTGCATTTTCTGTTTCCTTTTACTCATTTAAACAGCAATTCTAGTAGCTATAATAACCCTCAAGTCTTAAATTTTGTGGGCAATGTTTTCTTATTGTTTTTTTTTAAAGTGCCTTTGTGCTAAGCTTCAAATTTTTCATTCTTTCTGTGATAACTTTAAAAAAGAGAAAACAGAAACAACATCAGTTCTCACTCTAAAAATAGCACCTACATTTTAGTCTGGCATCTGAAAAATGATGCCCACCTATGCCCCTACCAAATACAATGACAAGCTAGCAGACTTCAAGGGCAAACAAAAACACTTAACACTGCAAAACATGCTTGCTCTTCTATTTCACACCTTACTAATGTAGCGATGAAGTTTGGATATGATATTGGAAGTGAAGAGATATTTCATTAGGCTTTTGTTTTCTTCTGTAACATTTACTTTTTGGCCATAAGACCCTAAACACAATTTCACAGTACAGGTCATGCATAGCTTGAAAGTCGGACATTTTACAGCTACTGTCTAACTACTATATTTGGACACTAGGTCCACATGCAGCTAATGAGCCCATAGAAGGGGCTTAATAAAGCACTCTTTAAGCTTCACTGATCATTCCTTGGCCCAAAATATACAAGTAGTAACCCCAAAGGGCAATCAGTGAACTTTTACTGCCATACTTTGAGATCACGTACTCCTTAAGCTCAGAAAAATTTCACGGCAGTTGTATGTTACTAGCCCACAAAAGCCTTCTTGATGCTAGATCCCCATGCAAAACCATCCAGACCTGTATTGTCCAATATGCCAGCCACTAGCCAGGTGGAACTATTTAAATTACTTAAAATAAAAAATGTAGTTCCTCAGTCGTACTAACCCCAATTTGGCTGCCTGACAGACACTGCTTGTATCCCTCAATGACCCATGACGTTCCAATAAAATGCATACAGTGGAATCCACTTCTTCATATATGCGAAGTCTCAAGGGTTTGGTTTTACAGACACTCCCCAAAGTAGCTGGTTTGATATAATGTATGTGGCCCATAACAATCATTAAAAAACTATAATCTAATTCAACACTGCATAATCCACAAAACACTGAAAAACATTACTATCAACATTTTCTCATTTGATTTTTAATTCCGACTACAGCTACATTGTGTGTGTGTGCACGCGTAGTCGATTATGTCCATAAGAAAAAAGTCAATGGCTAGAATTTCTTTTCTTTTAAAGAATGTTTCATGTTGAACAAAATCCAGCAACTGATCATCATTGTTTTTGAAATAGACCACTACTTTCAAAACAGTTACTCACTCTTCTCTGGAATGTGGGTGTTGGTAGGGATTACCTTAGAAGGGATGTTTCACTGAGAATGATGAGTGTGTCAAGGAAGAGCTTCTCCATCTATGTCGAGGATGACGGATTGACTGAACAACATATCTTGTGCAGAACAAAATGCTGACTAGTTGATAGCAGATTCTTTTTTAAGGGAAGATAGAAATGGAAGTCTTTTGCATTTCACTCCTCTCATTCCAAGAGCCTTTAGACCTCTAAGTTCCTCTTAAGTCTGAAGAAAAATGACCGATTTTTAAAATAAAATTTAAAGACAAGCTAAAGGAACAGTATTGCATCTTGCCCATTGGCAAGTTCTTTAAAAAAGAAAACCAACCCAATTCTGCTAAATTAAAGCAAATACATCTAGCCTACATTATATTTGAAGACAATGAAAAGCAGACTAACCAATTTCACAGAGGTTTTCAAATAAACAGATGGAAGGTTTTCAAATTAAAATCTAGACTGGAATAAATGCCAGACTATCAATAAACATATGATCTTCATATGAAAAAAATCTCGAACTGCATTTTCTGTTTCCTTTTACTCATTTAAACAGCAATTCTAGTAGCTATAATAACCCTCAAGTCTTAAATTTTGTGGGCAATGTTTTCTTATTGTTTTTTTTTAAAGTGCCTTTGTGCTAAGCTTCAAATTTTTCATTCTTTCTGTGATAACTTTAAAAAAGAGAAAACAGAAACAACATCAGTTCTCACTCTAAAAATAGCACCTACATTTTAGTCTGGCATCTGAAAAATGATGCCCACCTATGCCCCTACCAAATACAATGACAAGCTAGCAGACTTCAAGGGCAAACAAAAACACTTAACACTGCAAAACATGCTTGCTCTTCTATTTCACACCTTACTAATGTAGCGATGAAGTTTGGATATGATATTGGAAGTGAAGAGATATTTCATTAGGCTTTTGTTTTCTTCTGTAACATTTACTTTTTGGCCATAAGACCCTAAACACAATTTCACAGTACAGGTCATGCATAGCTTGAAAGTCGGACATTTTACAGCTACTGTCTAACTACTATATTTGGACACTAGGTCCACATGCAGCTAATGAGCCCATAGAAGGGGCTTAATAAAGCACTCTTTAAGCTTCACTGATCATTCCTTGGCCCAAAATATACAAGTAGTAACCCCAAAGGGCAATCAGTGAACTTTTACTGCCATACTTTGAGATCACGTACTCCTTAAGCTCAGAAAAATTTCACGGCAGTTGTATGTTACTAGCCCACAAAAGCCTTCTTGATGCTAGATCCCCATGCAAAACCATCCAGACCTGTATTGTCCAATATGGCAGCCACTAGCCAGGTGGAACTATTTAACTTTAAATTACTTAAAATAAAAAATGTATGTTCTCAGTCGTACTAACCCCAATTTGGCTGCCTGACAGCCAATGGAGTTAGTGAGTACTGCATTAGACACAACAGGTTATAGAACACACTTACATCATTTCAGAACGTTCTATTGAACAGCGCCAATCTAAAAGATTCCAAGGGTTGCACCAGCACAGGGTTTAACCTTCAAAGGACCCAGTCTGTAAGGCATGCACCAGATTAAACTTAATTATATTGTTAAAGGAAATACCTTAGAGCTTTCTGGTTAGGAAGTATGACTGGAACTGAGAACCAATTTGCCTTTTTATCACAACCAATGCCCCAGGTCATTATATAAAAATTTTCCAGAGACAATGCTTTTTGGTCACATACTTGATTCTACTTAACATTTTAAGCATTCTCTTGCTTATGTCAAGATCATTAATAAAGATGAAAAGTCATGCTTCTTATAAAGTTTACTATTTACATGACATTCACTGTCCTCATATGCCAGGATGAGGGGCAGGGAAGGGGGAACCAATGTTTCTTAAAAAATTCAAATCACATAGTTTGGCAGTTTTTTTTTTGTTTTGTTTGTTTTTCCAATGTCTATGCTCATCCCTAAATCAACCCTCCTTTCATTTCCCAGAGAGGTAGATGTTAACTAAAAACGAAGCAAACACCAGAAAACCTTTAAGCAATAGTCAAGTTAGTAAAGAGTATTTATCAACCCTAAAAAGGATCATAGCCAGATAGAGGACAGACCTAGGAAGAACAAGAGGACACCACAAGGCAAAGTCCTGTCCCCAGTTTACTGCAGGTATTACAAGCTGCTATGCACCTCAGTGGGCCTCAAAGGACTCCTCTACAAAATAAAGCCACCAGAGGCTGCTTTCAGCCCTTTCTGTGCTTTCTGATTGTGACTTTTAATTGATGTGCAACTATGAATTTTGGCCACTGGGTTTTTGTCAAGTGGGGTAGATGGGTCATTAGTGTCCTGGGTAAAAGCCAGAAGAGACCAGAGCAATGGAATGCCAATTAACATGAAAACATTAAGCCTATAAAATTCTATCTGGCAGGTTAAGATAGGTCTTTCTCTTTCACACACACACACACACAAACATAATACATATCTTAACAAGCAGGTACACAAATAACTGCAGGCAGAATCCACTGAAATGTTTCTTACATCAGTGAGACTTGTATAAAAAATTCTGATTTGGGTTGTTATCATTAGCTTAAATTTTAGGTCAAGAATCTACCAGAGAGCTGATCGGTTTTGCAGCTCTAGCACGGGACTGTTTTTAAGTAAAAGTGCTGTGGTCGCTTTTAGTCTACGGCTTTGTACTAAGCAGCACGGGACACTATCATCACACACATTAGTGTCTACATATAACCTACTTAACAAGAACAACTCTACCACAGACTACACTAATAGGTCAGTCATTTCACACTGTACATAGTGTATGAGAGTCACTCTCAAACTTAATTTGAATACGGCATGGCTTAAAATTGCAACAGCAACGTCCATTGGACTTTGTTGCATTTTTAATGCAACGTATCTATGGGGTGTGTGTGTGTGTGTGTGTGTGTGTGTGTGTGTGTTTTCCTCCAAGAGAAATAGAAATTGGGTCAGATGTACATTACAGCAGCCTGGGAGAGTCTGAGAAATTGACACTAACCCAATAATATATTATGTTACATAATAGAGGATAGTATTTAGTTAATATGATACCTGAATTATTAATACCAAATAAATCCTAGATTATTTGTTGTGTAATGCCCAATAGCTTACAAAATAAAATGGCATTGTAACCTAATTGCTAGCTTGAGCTTTCAAATACATTTCCTAAAAGTCTTAGCACAAATTTGAACTATTTGAAATGCCCAAGTTCACACTTTTCCATGGATTTATCATGCCAATTAACAGTGTTAACTTTGTGTCTAGTCATTATATTTTTGTTTTGTTTTACATGAATCCCATCACTTTACTATGCATAATTTGGGTGATAGCATATAAATAGTCTTGATCTCACAGGGGCTATGTTTTAGCCTTGTTTTTTGAAACCAGTCACCGTTCATTTTCCCCTCATATCCCCTCATCCTCCCTGCCATTTCCAGAGACCCAGTGGAACAGAAAAACAAATATTTATGAGTAGAGTGAGTCCTTGTCTCATCCTACTTGCTTCGTGTATTCCATAAAAGAAATCAGGAAAGAATTGCAAGGCTCACAGCTATTTCTGAATGCACAAGCACCCAGGGATAGGAATTTATCACTTACCACCGGCAGATCTTTCTTCATAAGCATCTACAGATCATTATGCATTTAAGAATACTTGAGACTTTATGAGGAGCTGGTCCACATAACAATGGGAATGTGAGTTATTAGTTTACTTTGCCACTTTTCTCAATAAAGACATATTCGAGATACTAGAGATTTTCTTGCTGATACCAACGAAAGCAAAGTGGAATTCTAAACGGTCTTAGCTCTCATTAACAACATCTTTCAAAAACATAATCATGGACTGTCCATTAAAATGCCCATCTGGGTTTGTCAGCAGTTAACAACACTCACCGCTATTACAATACCCCCAAACTAGGAGAAAAGACAGATTTTTCTGGTACAGTTCATTTGTGCCTACAAAATACAGGACTTAAATACACAAGCAGAGGCCCGAACGCTGAGATGACCTCACTGGGGGGTCCAGGCACCCGTGAGGTGACCAACACTTCAGACACTCGTCTCACTCACTCCCACGAAACTGTCCTCCTGGAATTCTTCTGAAAAGGCTCACAAGCCTGAGGTAAACCAAACCACACACATATACACGTGCGCACACAGAAATACGGACTATTTACATTTTAAATTCTTATTTTGTGAAATGGCTTGAGAAAAATTGGCATACAGGTTTCCTGTGCGATTAGGCATTTCTCATGATTTCTCAACGTATTGCTCCCCCGTTGGGCTTTCAGTTTAATCAACATGTAGTGAGCTCTAATTACAAGAGAAAAAATGAAGGGACATGACAAAACACGACAGGCTGAAGATGCCTGTTCACATATTTCCTCTAAAAACCGACCACCCATTTAACCGATTTTGATTTGAGTGTCATTCAAAATGTATAAAAAGTTTCACAACTAAATGAAGACGAGGTTACATTAAAAAAATTAAAAACAGAAGAGAAAAAGAAAGAAGCCAGAACCGCAAGTCTTCATTGATTTTTTACATGGATTCGTGGGTTTAATTCTACTTGTATACACAGCATCTTTGTTTGAGTCTACCGCATTTAGAGAAGATCACGTTGTACATACTTGTACAGTTTAATGTCTAAGGAGAATATGTCTATCTTGTAACATGATTTTGCAAAATCATAAATCACAGTCTGTTTAATACATGATTATGAGGATGCATGCGATCATCGTCAACGCTGTGGCCATGGATACTCAGAACGACCCGTCTGGTAGCCTGTTGAGACCTTGCCTTCTGCCCTTCGTGTCTGTCTTTGGATGAATCAAGTTGCAACATAGAGGCCAGCACTGGGCACCAAATGGTCAGTGTCGCCCCCATCTGCTCGCCGGGATCCCATCACCAACACCTGCTCAACCCCTAAGTTGGCACCCACAAGAGACATCCCCGCAGCTGTCTTCAGCCACAGGATATCACAGTGAAGCGCTTAGAAATGCAAGACATGTTGTGAAGCACGATGCCCAGGAGGAAGACCAAGACGCAGGCCACCAGGATGACAGTGCACACCCCCGACCAGGTGGAGCTCTTGACCACGCCCCGCCTGTCCGGCTCCTCCTCCGCCACCTCCGGGGGCGCCCCGCCTTGCAGAGGCTGCTGTTCGGCAGGAATGGTCACCACAGTGACAGACTTCTGCTGGCTCCCGGGCAGCAGGCGGCAGCCCATGTCTCCGGGCAGCAGCCCGCGCTCCTTGGAGATGGGCAGGGGTAGCATGTAGCACCCATTGCTGGGAAGTTTGATGAAGACTGGGGTGTGCTCAGAAGTGTGTGGAATGGCAATGACGGCCAGGACCTCGGGGTCGTCGGGGAGCTGCGACACGGAGAAGCCCGGGGGCAGCTTGGTGATGCCACGGCACCAGGGGCACCTCACATCTTTCTGGCTGGTCCGCATCTGCTGGAGGCACACCGAGCAGCAGGTGTGCTTGCAATCCAGCAATTTGGGCCTCCGCCGAGGGCTGTAGTAATTGAAACAGATCTGGCATTCCAGCAAGGAATCCTGGGAGAGCGTCTCCATGGTGGCCCGTGAGCAGGAGGGGCAAGGTCAAAGTGGACGGACAGGAGCTGGACGCAGGGGCCACCAGTGTGCGTCTACAACGCAGCGACGTGATCCGACGCTCACAGGCATCTAGTGTGTGCTCCTGTGTTCGTTTCTAAGGAGACATAAGGCAAACAAAAGTAATTATTTCAAAGTTGAGTTGTCGACTTATCTAACAAATTTATACCATAGCTCAAAAGTCCTGACATTGGGTAAAAGCATAAAATTTTCCTTGCTGTATGACTCTAGGATTCCCGTAATGCCTGGTGAAAGGTGAATGAAGGTCGAATCGCAATTGGACAGCTAGCCACAGTCAATGCTTCATTCACTAAAGAAATGAATACCTCCAAGAGGTGTGGGCTGGAGCCCTCATACTTCATAAAGAGGGAGTCGGCTGTTTCTGATTTGTACATGCCGGCGGGCCGGGGTTTTCTTTTTAAAATATAATGGAGAAATGCTCCAAAAAGTTGATTGCATCTCCTCTATGTTAGATCCTCCAACCTTCTTTTCCCAGCTCTACTCATTCTACCATATGAACTCACAGATTCCGGCAATTTTGCCAATCTAAGAACTTCACGAAACTGGCTTGCTTCTTTTATGTATCAATTAGGATGATTCTGTTCTCACAGGTAATTCAAATGACACCACAGCCAAAAACACATGCATGGAGGTATCTTTTATCTTCTCCATTAAGTCATTCGCATTGGGGCTATGCTTAGCAGTTGGTTTTTAAAAGGACAAGAACAACAACAACAAAACACACACACACACACACAATAAAGCAAAACTGGACCAAAACCTGGAGCAGCAATGAACTTGAAGGCAGGAGGGGGGGGGGCACAGCACACTAATCACAAAGGTATCCCGGTACTCATAATATCTTCCAGTGAACTCTTTGAATTTTATTACTATGTAGGCATGCGCCAAGAAGCAGGACTCAAAAGCAAGAACTATTAGTTCACTGATGATAATCAACATTACACAGTGAAAGATTGTTAGAAAAGATGGCAAGCATCCTTTACTGCAAAAAAAAAAAAAAAAAAAAAAAAAAAAAAAAGTGGCTAAGGCACTGGACTCCCACATGGCCGGCCAACTATGGTTCGAGCCCTGGACCTAGTGCCTTGGAAATCATAACGGGCCCAT